CCTAAACCCTGAACCCTAAACCCTAAACCCTGAAACCCTGAACCCTAAACGTCAAAGACGACTATTTGAAGATTGTCGTGGAGGAGTTTATGGGGGGCGACAACGGGCATAGTAGTTCCCCGGCTTCTTCGTCGAATCACGATTCACCAGGGACCAATGTTTCCTCCACCCTGGATCTACCCATTGACTCCGACGGAACAGATCCATGTCCACCACATGACCCCGATCCATGGAGTTGTATGCACACTATACAGTTAGAAAGGGACCCTTGTCCACCTAACAAAGACGACCCGTGGAGTTGTATGGAATCCATACAGTTAGATGCAGAACACAATGCTCATTCCAACCACAGGGATGCGAACTCGGCCCACCATTGGCATACCCATTGGATCCCTTGGATCGACCGCAACAAAGATATTCTGCGGGCGTGCACGACGCAGCCGTGGTTTAATGCCCTCAAATCGGAATGGAAACAACATGTGCGTCAACATGCTACAGATGAGGTATCCGGGCAGCGTGAACTCGGTGAAGCGGCAACCCTGCCGATGAAGAAACCTCGGTTGTGGAAAGCATGGGTAGCGCAACAACATCGGCAAATGTGTATGCATAAGGAGCAGTGGTTCCAACATTTGTTGAATAATGTAGAGGAGGACACAGAATCGCAAAAAGGCCAAGCACCCATAGTGGAAGAAGACTTGGAAGTGGAACAACTAATGGCCGCAGCAGATATGCTACAAGTGAGAGATGTACCATGCACGCACCTGCATCAGCAACTGTACATGACAAAACGGTTAACCGCTAAAACATGGATACTGATCCTGGCATTAGTCATAGAAGACAGCGAGCTGGAGCGTACTATGCAGGATAGGGAGTTATATGTGGATGACCTATTGGAGAAGCTCTGAAATTAGGATGCAGGAAAGCGCACTTAAATAAATGCAAATAAAGCATAATAATAACAGTTTACTTTTCCCCATTTAGCGATATACATAGTACGTTATACTACGCTTAAGTTACTTCCTACTGTTTTTTTTTTTTTTTTTTTTTTCTCTCGTTCAAAAGGTTAGTCATTCTAAACACATTGCTTTGCATTTCTATTCTTTGTTCTTTTTTCTCTTTTGTTCTCTTGCTACTTGTGAGGGTGCGGGGGGCGAGTCATACGCTAAAATTATGTTACCATAACATGTAACTTTTTCGCTTTAAATAAGTATAAAAACACTCCATACACAAACCTTTCATAAGTTAGAATTCAACTTTTTTTTTGTCGCGATAAAATTACATGAACAACAAATTTTTTTACATCTTCGTTTATAAAATAATGTGATTGAACACATTCTCGTTCCAAACAATTGACTTAAGGCACCTAGTGTTTTTTATCCATCAGCGCATTATGCGGAGCGTATAAAACGGCATAAACACCGTAAGTAGTGCATATACTCCTATATATATATGTAATGGTTCATTACAAAATAAACATGTTCCATCTGAAACCCTACAACTAAACCCCCCACACATTATTCAAATTTTAACATGACCTCTCCTTCTTTCTAAAGCTAAAAAAAAGTTTTTCTTCTGTGCATATTTTTCTTTTTTTGTTTTGTTGTTGGCATAATTTCCTTTTAAGTTGTAAAATAATGTATTTTGACGTAATCTGAATTTTCTGTTTATGATTTTGTACATTTTGCACAATTAATAGAAATAATTATATACATGCAGATTCATGGAAAAGTAAATTACAACGGAATCCTATATACGACAATCCACAAAAAAAGAAAAAGAAAAAGAAGCACAACACTTCTCATACTGCTATATTCTGACGTTAAGGGGGAAAAAATGCGTTCATTCATTTCTATAATTTCTTTTTTGTTCTCTTAGCATACACTTGCTCCTAGTCGCAGCATAGTTAGGGAAAAACAGAGGGAACTACACTACCTGTTATATTTTTCCCCTTAATATATGGATCGATAGCAACATGGTACACTCGAACAACAAACAAACATCGACAAACAACGTTCCACAAGCAGCATCGCAATGCCGAAATGGCAAAACACATTCCGCATCCAGGAAACGAAGTGAAACCGATGGCACAAGGGCGCATAGGTCGCTATTCTCCAAAACAGCGGCTATCCTTTTTGCTGTTGCTTGCATCTTTTTAAAGGTGAGCCCACTGCAACAGCAGGATACGTGATCATGTATAGACCTATGTAGGATGGAATGTTGCGCACTCGGCTATATATATGCCGTACCCATCATACCCACCATACGCATCGCACGATATATACATAATACTTATATGTACATTCACTGCTTCCTTGCCTTCTTCCCTTTTTTGTATTGTCCTTATTACCATTCTTTTACTAATTCAAATGATCACTACCACTTCTCCTGCCTTTCTCTCCTTTGCAGCATCAAGATGACTTCGAAAGACAAGAAGAGTATGTGGCCAAAGTGCAAGTATATAACAGAGCTGCTAGAAAGTTAGCCATGACAATAGAAGAAGGAACTCCATCAGACGAGGAACTTGAAGTAGAAGAGATGGACATGGAACAGTATGGGGATGATGAACAAACCTATGAAGGTGCCTACGAAGATGTTGAAGAACCTTATGAAGAACCCTATGAAGACGCAGAAGAAGGAATATATTCTAACGAACAGTGGGAGGAAGAAGGAGAAGAGGATGATTATGAAGAGCAGGAAGAAGAAGCTATTCTAGAAGAATGGACACCAGAGGAGCAACAGGTACAAGAAGAAGTACATTATGATGGAGAAGGGAATATACAACATGGTGTAAGGCAAGAAGAAGTCGATAATGGAGACATATTACCTGCCGAAGTATCAGTCACTGAGCCTAAAAGGGAAGCTGCGCCTGTTGAGAACTCGGGAAACTCAGATTCTAAGGTTGAATCAGATGGACCATTACCAGCCTCACAGAATAATGAACAAAGCGTAAAAGCGACGAAGAAGCCCGCAGGACGCTCCAGTACACCGAAACATATTTCAACTACGAATAAAAGATGGGTAGGCTTCGGTGTGTCCAATTCTGCTTTTAATACAGTAGCGGGGTTCTTGTACTTCGTACCAGTTCTTCAACAATTTTGGATTACCATATTTCTTTCTGCAGCTGGCGGGAGCATAGTAGTTGTGCTCTTGATTCTGCTATACCTGTGTATTCGTGGAAAGAAATGGTCAAGAAAGTCGAATAAAAAATTGACGCCATGCACTCCGCCCAAAACTAACAAAAACCCAAATGTACCTAAGAAATCAGAAGCACATGGGAAACCAACAGTACCTAACAAACCATAAGTAACATTCGTTTTCTACTTCTGGTAGGGAGCTTCCATGTTATGATTTTAGATATGAATCAGGTCTACCTTCTTATGACTTTTTGCACTGTGTGTATGATATGGTTCATTCATAATTGTAACATATATTCCTGTGTTCTGTTTTAAACCATAATATTGTTTATATCTTCCTAATACAAATGGTTTGCGCGCATACAGCGCGGTTTGTTTCTGTAATTCGTTGTCTATTGATATTATGAGAAGGGGCACGCGCTCTGAAGACAATGTATCCCTTCCATTTCCTGCATACATACATATACATGTACGCATATATATTTTCATCTTTATACCTCATAATCTGCTACATCATATATGTAGCATGTATTATGCTACAAGTACCCTGGATAGAGTGTGTAGTAAATAATTTTATAATGTGCAAAAAGTTCTTGTCCTTTTTTTTTTTTTTTCTATTTCAAAAATTTTGCTCTCGGACTCATAACTCTCCTCGATACTACAAGTATTTGCACGATAATGCAGCCATTCACGGATGCAAGATCAGCGTCAGCTATGGGAACACTTGTCACATCAATACCTGCGCAAAAGTATAAAGAAGAGCAACTTTTGTAAAACCTACGCTCTTTAAACATCCTTCAAGGAGGTTGATGCGGAAAAGATATTCAAATGGTTCTATAATTATAAATGTCAACAGATGACCGCCCTGTTCTGTTCGCACGTAAGTATATATATTTCTTTATATATGTATACTCGCCCCATATAATTGGTAGTGCCCCTTAAGCCTATAAGAGTAAATATAATATTTGTGCACTGACACCCTAAAAACATGAACCCGACAATTCCATATCCACCAGGACTAACCGTGGAACTTTAAATCATAATACACTGAACCTTCTACCTTGAACAATGCACCTTCAACCTTAACACCCCCAAAAGTTGATACAATTCGCGAACCCTTTGTACACCTTGAACGCGACTACTATGCACATGCTTTACACATTTAACTGCTATAGGCAGCAAAGGTTCCAGCAAAGGACAGCTCCTTTATCAAATAGGCATTTAATGCGACTCATCCGCCCCCGCGCCCCCTCCGAAGCATTTAAAACAGCATTTAAAAAAAAAAAAAGAAGCCACAGGACTATAGTACCTTATTTATAATGGAGAACTGCTTCTCCGTTGTTTATTATTTTTTTCTTGCAATGCTCAAAACAAAAAGAGAACAACATTGTGCTATCAATAACGCAACTTCCAAAACTGTGCTTGAATAATTAACACAGAAATAAAAGAAGCAGAAAAAAAGGGGGAAAAAAAAGGAAAAAAGTAATATTTTATTACGTGCCAATAAATATTTCTTTAGACACTAGGACAAAATGGAATAAACGGTTCCTTGTATTGTATGTTGTTCATGGGTATTATTAATTCGTACATGTGTACCTAATATGTTCTCGCGGGGTGGATGGGAATCTGTTCACTACTTATTTATATTTTTGGCATAACGATCGCACTTTGAATCCTATTTAATAATTAAATAAAATTCATGTTCATAAAAGGTACCTAATTACACATTTGTACATTATAAAAAATTTTATAATAAGAAAAAAAAAAAAACACAAAAACAGACAACAGGAAGAGGCCGCGCGCCAGATTCATTGCTTTTTTCCCTTAAGGCAACTTTTAAAAATTAGTAATGAAAACGTGTCCAACGCGCAACACAAAATATAATTATGCATGACGTAGGATCGCGATGTGTTACATAGGAAATGTTTCCACACCTTCTTTTTGGCGGCGCTAGTATCCTCCCTTGATGCTCCCAGATTTTTCTATTTCACTGAACGTGATAGGGTCCTGCGAAACTGTTGTAGTTAAATAAACCAGTAATCACTACGGATCAGGTATTATACAGATATATAATATTATGTGAACACTGTGCGGACGTCGCCTGTTTCCTTTCCGTTTTTTTTTTTTTTTTTTTGCCTTGACGCTAGCACGCTCTGTTAAAAAGGGGCTATTTTCCCTTCGTTCGCGGTTCCGCGCAGCGGAGTGAGATCACGGGACAACTTTTTAACGTAACCTCTTATATACAGAACGCGCGCGTTTACAAACACATGTGTGTACGTGTATATACAACCATGCCACGCACATTCACATTGTCTTCTCTGGTCGACATGACCATAAGGAATGATGAATTATTATTCCTTCTTCAACTCCTGTTATTACGCTAACTACTGGGTTTCCGGTGGTGTGTGCGCCAGGCCATTCACAGGAGATGGGTAACGACTAGGTTTACGACTGCGTCGCAACATGATGGCTATTCGGTACAAAATGGACAAAGTCCTACGAACAAGTAGGCCACGCTAAACAGTTTTAAACATATATAGATGCAATCGCAAATAGTTTTAAACATATATAGATGTAATTACAAATAGATGCAATAACAAATAGGTTAATGACACATAGGTCATCACAAATAGGTATAATCATAAATAGGTGTAATTACCAATAGGTGCAATAACAAATAGGTTAATGACAAATAGGTCATCACAAGTGTTAAGACACAACCAGCTCAGTTGGCATTCAGCTGAGTGAGAACTTCAATACCTCAAAAACTCACTAGGGCCCCTCAAGAAAGGGGAAAGCGAAGTATGTCGTACTCGTATCTCGAACGTAATTATTGAAAAGGAGCGCAGAGACGCAGGATGGAGCCACTTGCTTCCCTTCCCCGTCTGTCACCCCCTGTCATCCTGCCATCGTATAGTTGAAGGTGTCAACCCATTCACTCTAAGTAACATTTCTCATAATGTCCTATTAAACGAAGAACTTTTTGGCACAATGGATTCAGCATGGAGAAATAAAGTAAAAATATGCAGCATCGATTGGACAGATGAAAATACCTACCCACGTGAGAATGAACAAATTGTCACATATGATTACATTATTGGGAGTGATTTAGTATACGATAAAGAAATTGTGCCATCACTTGTCCATATAATTAACTTAACTTTGAAAACAAATGGCATTTTTCTCTATGTGTGTAGAAAGAATAGGGATGGGTCACAGGAATTCATTAGTCAATTAAAAGACGCAAATTACGACATACAATTATTCACCCCCCCCCCCCGAGTCACTACTTTGTAATCCCCTTTCTCAACTTAAGTCAGGACCTATATGAGGCAAAGTTTTCCGAGTTTAGCGACGCCTCCAACTTTGTCATGATGCGCTGCCAAAAGTACTAGGTGGAAAGGAGACAATGAAGGTTAAGTATTCCTCCCTTAATGTCGTTGGCCCGGAATTATGAAATGTACCGCTGCATAGGTGTAATTACAAATAGATGCAATAACAAATAGGTTAATGACAAATAGGTCATCACAAGTGTTAAGACACAACCAGCTCAGTTGGCATTCAGCTGAGTGAGAACTTCAATACCTCAAAAACTCACTAGGGCCCCTCAAGAAAGGGGAAAGCGAAGTATGTCGTACTCGTATCTCGAACGTAATTATTGAAAAGGAGCGCAGAGACGCAGGATGGAGCCACTTGCTTCCCTTCCCCGTCTGTCACCCCCTGTCATCCTGCCATCGTATAGTTGAAGGTGTCAACCCATTCACTCTAAGTAACATTTCTCATAATGTCCTATTAAACGAAGAACTTTTTGGCACAATGGATTCAGCATGGAGAAATAAAGTAAAAATATGCAGCATCGATTGGACAGATGAAAATACCTACCCACGTGAGAATGAACAAATTGTCACATATGATTACATTATTGGGAGTGATTTAGTATACGATAAAGAAATTGTGCCATCACTTGTCCATATAATTAACTTAACTTTGAAAACAAATGGCATTTTTCTCTATGTGTGTAGAAAGAATAGGGATGGGTCACAGGAATTCATTAGTCAATTAAAAGACGCAAATTACGACATACAATTATTCACCCCCCCCCCCCGAGTCACTACTTTGTAATCCCCTTTCTCAACTTAAGTCAGGACCTATATGAGGCAAAGTTTTCCGAGTTTAGCGACGCCTCCAACTTTGTCATGATGCGCTGCCAAAAGTACTAGGTGGAAAGGAGACAATGAAGGTTAAGTATTCCTCCCTTAATGTCGTTGGCCCGGAATTATGAAATGTACCGCTGCCAATTTGATGATGTGCTCACCCCGTATTCAACTTTTCCTTCCCACTTTGGAATTTCTTCCTGCCCCCTACCAATTGTTAACAATTTTTTTTTTTTTATGAACAAAGGTGACAGATCAACCACTTCTTCATCTTGTTGTTGTTGTTCCCTCACAGATCGTTTGTTCAAATGGGGTGATACGTCCGCACTTGCATACCCATCGCGTGTGTTCAATTGCTATGTTGTTTTATTTTTTCCCCCTATATAGGGGCCGCAGTGCCCCCCTCGGTGTTGCAACACATATTATCGTGCCTTATTTCTATAACCAATGCCGCTTTTCTTTGCTTCCCCCTTTACTTTTTTCAAAAAACACATAGCATTTTTTCTGTATAATAATTTCTTATTCCGAACAATATGCCTTTCACATTATTTTGAAATTGTAACCTCTTAATTGAAAGTATGGTAATTATGTCGGTAGGAAAGAAGTGCGTATATGCTTACAATGCAACTGACACGCAGCTCCTCAAAACGGAACATTCCCATGGGCACGAAGGTTAACGAAACTCGCCGTTCCCAAGTATGCAGCTTCGGGAGGAAGGAGTTAACGGGAAGTTATTATATATATGTTGCATATATATGCGATTAGCGGCGGGAAGGAACGCAAGCGCAGGTATTACGCTATTTATTTACGATCGCAGGAAAAATATTGCCTTTTGTTTTGTTTGTTCTTAGCGCAGGCACATTACTGTATGCCCTTTATATGTAAATACCCATGCGTGGAGTATATTTCCTAGCCATGATACATTTATGCCGCGTCCCCTGGTGCGCAGGTCCTAATGAGGAAAAAATAGCCCTTTTAAGTAAAGCGTGCCATCGTAAAAAAAAAAAAAACAAAAAAAACAAAAAAAGTACGACCTCTACCACAGCATTCAGCATATTGTGACCTATGCACATATACCTGCTCCCGAAAAAGGATGCTGCTCTGCGCGTTGCAGCAACTGCACAGGTACCCCCCCCCCAACCCCCAGTGACACGAGAACTCACGGCGCGCCAGGGAACTATGCTTAGCCGGGCTAGGACATATAGTTCAGAAGTACTTTCTACGTAACCGATGACGGCCCCTACATCACATATAATTATGTATTTTCTGATGCGCAATTGATAAGTTCTCATTACAAATTTTTAAAAGTTGCCTGAAAGGAACAAAAGGAAATAAATCTCTCGCAGCCCCTTCCTTTTTTTTTTTTTTTTTTTTTTTTCTTTTTTTTTCCAAACCACAACAAATATTTTTTACGTTCGTACGAATCCGCAGTTTCTATTTTTTTTTTTTTTAAAAGAAAAAAAAGGTAACTTTATTTTTATGACTCATCTGAAGATACAAACATATATACATGTATCCGCATTTTGACGTACGCCCCTACTAAGTTATTTCTCTTGATTAGCGGCGAAGTTATAAAATAATATACCTTAATTTGCTCCTGCGAGCGTGAAACGTGTTAACCGTACATTAAACATATCCCGCGCAAAATGGATAAAACGAAAAGCAAGAAACAAATTTTCAACGCTAAAGGCAAAAAGCCCGCCAAGAAGGTCATCAAGAAAGTTGTAAAAAAAGTTTTGGGGAAGAAAAAAAAAACCGTGAAAAAACTTAAGGCAGTTCGATTATATGAGAAGGGAGTTATCTTGGGATACAAGAGGTAAGCACACACAACGGGCAGCGCCCAACTGGGAGGAGAGGCCGAATGCCATGCGCATGAGCCTCATCCACCTCACATAAAACAAATCAGAGCGCATGAAGGAACTGCGCAAAGTCAACAGCGCCCAACAATGAACAAAACGTAATGGTGTTAACCCATTGGACTCCCCCCATTAAGTGATGCTGACTGTGCATACGAATCCGAACAACTGATGTTCACAGGAAAATAGAAAAAACAAAAAAAAAATATAAAGAGTATATAAACGCTTTGCACGACAGGAGTCCGCGTTAATAACACGAAGAGGTGGTAGACTCCATCAAAGAGAGCGTCCATCAACACCTGTAGCAAAACGCGCGCTTCGCCAACGAACGCCTTTGTTGATCAGCGACGCGAAAAAGGGAATGCGGACATTGGGCATGTCCATTCTTTTCCCGCCACTCTATTAACCTGATTGACGCATACGTACCGCAATGCTGACACCCCACTTTCCCTTTATTTGCAGATCTCAAAGAAACCAAGACCCTAACTTCACCCTCATTTCTATAAAGAATGTACATACGAAAAAGCATGCCCAATTTTATGTCGGCAAAAGGATTGCCTACGTGTACAGGACAAATAAGCACCATGACGGAGTGAAGATTAAGGTATGCGGAGTGCAAACTTATAGCGAGGAGCACCCCTTTTTGCATTTACTCTTATGTCGCTTTATTCGTGATCATGCCATTTTACACCTTAACTTTGCCTCTCACCCCCTGTCCTTTGCTGCGCTCTTCATTGTCCCTTCTTCTCACCCCCGTTTCACCCTACCCGCAGTGCATATGGGGAAAAGTATGCAGAACGCACGGAAACAGTGGAGTCATTCGCGCTAGATTTAGAACCAACATCCCACCTAAAGCTTTTGGAGACAGAGTCAGGATACTCATGTACCCGTCGAACATTTGACTCGAAAAGGTCCTATGCGTGTGACGTGGCGCTACGATATGCTGTGTAGCGTTATATAATGTAACATTATATAATGCAATTTTTCTTTCCTTTTTTTCTTTTTTTTCTTTTTTTCCTGGGCCATGTGTGTAGTATGAACAAATAATTAGCATCGTTTTTTCCTTCCAATGGGCCTATCTTTTTAACATCATCACCAGGTCTCGCATGCATCTCAGTCCACCGTTCCCAACCTTTTCGTATAAACGTGAATGTGAGTGGATGCACGTTACGTGGCGAATGTATGAAACATACACAAGAAAAAAAAAAAGTATTTCACGTAACAGACTTTAAAAATAAAAATAGGAACTTTCAAATTCCCTTCTGGGTTTAAGGAATCACACGCGCATCCATCTGGATCTCGCACATTATCCCATTTTGTTCCAATTAAAATGACAAAAGCATGTTTACGCAAATTGAAATTATGCCGTTCTAATGTATGGCAAGGACGGAATGCCCTAAAATGGGCAAAGTCCCAGGCTCCATTCTTTTGCTTTTTTCTTCTTCCCACAACGGTTTCCATATTCGAACAGTGGACAACTTGAACGAATCTGATGCGTATCCTTGGCTTTCGTAATTAGAAGGGAGCATAATTTCCTATTCCGTTTGTTTCAGTATACAGCACATGTATTCGTATGTCGCTCTGCCTCGGAAATGACGAGCGGTTATTACTACATGCTGCCCCTCCTTCATTGCTCCCTGTTGGCTTACGCAACCTTGCAACGTCGCCATTTTTTTTTTTTTTTTTCTTTACCGCGCTTTATAAACGAAGGCGCACATTTCAAGGGAGTGCTATAAAAATGTCCAAGTTTTTTTCAATTTAGATTAAAAAATGTCAACAGGGAAAATAAAAAATTGCAACCTGCTCTTCACAAAAGTGGGGAACAATAAAAGAAGCTAGTATTATACAGGGAAGAAAAAAAAAATAAAAGGAAAAGAACTCCCTTTTCCCGGCATAACCTAATAGTCCCTTATGGGGACAGAGCACAGCTTCCGTAAATTGTGGGCGCCATGAAATGTAGCAGCGGAACAAGCACTTACCAAATGGCATGCGCGCACCCATAGTGCCACAATGTTATGTATGCTCCGTTTATAAGTCCTATATGGGCGTGGTGCAGTGCATTTTTCGTACCTTCACTCCTCGGGTTCGGAAAAAAATCCTGCGCAAATTTAATCTCAGCCACAAGGGGTAATAAATTCCCATTCATTTATTTTTATCAAAATAAATATTTGAGGAAATCCTAAATTTATAATTGCTAACCTATTCATCTTAACATCCGTCGCAAATTTTAATTGACAAAATAGCTGATAAAATTATTTTCCTTTTTAAGCTTGCGCATCCATCTTGAAGCAACGTAAACATCGTGCTACAGTAAAGAGTACTTGCCCATACCGTTAAACCTATATAAAAGCTCCTCTTCGGAAAAAAAAAAAAAACAAAAACAAACGCTAACCAAATTTGTGAACAAAATGTCAAACGTGAGCAACGCCCTCATTTGGGAATTAACCAAAAAGAACAACTGCTTTTTAAAAAAGAACAAAAGTGGAAGAAAAGGAAATTTCCTATGCGACTCGTACAATATTAACTGCAAGAACACGCCCTCAAGCAGTGGTATGTCGACGGCTGTGCGTGCAAGTATTTATGCAGTGCAAGCTGCCATCTTCTATAATAAAAACAAAATACACGCTTGTTTCCGTTTCCCATGCTTCCGCGACTAAGTTATTCCATTATACCCTTTCATTTCCCTTAGGACTCGTGAAACACAATGGCGTAAATCTCCGATTGCAGAAGGGGAAAGTTGTGTTGTGCGTCAAATCCAAGGATCAAAAGTGAGGCGGACACGCAAACGTGCACATTTGCCACTATACAGTGAGCGACGCCATTTGCGCTGCACCACGCGCCACATACATTTCTACGCCAAAACAACATCATCCGCTTTTCCACCCCTTCCCTGCAGCACCACCACGAACAATGTATACAGAACCAAGAATAAGGGAACAGCCATGAAGCTAATTGATGAACACACAAAGCTTGTAAGTAGCAAGAACAAGAAACAGCTAATTAAGAAATACAACCGTATGTCCAAAATGTACAATTGCAACAACAAGGGGAATAAATAAACTAATTAATATGTATGAGCCGAAAGAGGGTAGGAAAATCTTCTAACGCTTTGTACGACGTGTCCCTGCGATTTTTTTCCTTATTGGACATTACCGCCAACACGTGTGCGTAGAACATATATGTAAATGTGAAAAGAAAATTTTTTTTTTTTCTTCTTTTTTTTTTTTTTTTTACATTTTCCACCCTCTGTACGTGAACCGTCCGAATTGAACTCTAAAAGGAAACAGATGTCACACATAGTGAACTAAAAATGAGCATTATTTAGGAAACATATCTACTAGTAACAAATGCCGTAACTTTTTCCCCAGCTTTTTTATTGAAAAAATTTTAAAGGCGAAAAAAAATAAAACATCAAAATGGGAACATCACCCATACTGTACTCAACGGTCTACGCGAAAAATACCTATTGTGGCAGCTCGCCAATTAGAAAAAAAATGACAAAAAAAACGCACAAACGTAGCGAAATAAACATATGCGAGTACACCTAAAAAGGATTCCAAAGGAACGACTTAAAGCATTAACATATAAGGGACATTTCCCCTTGTTCAGACGCAATATTGGGAGCAATAAGTTATTACCCACCCAAACATATTATAATCATGCCAGTTGCATTTTACTCCATGCTCACCTTAATCTTGCAATCCAAATGAAAATTTTATAAAATGGCGAAAGGTCTCCCAACGGGTGAAACCAACCTGGGCTTAACCTGCTGACAAAACTAACACCTCCTCAGGGTTCACGCAACGTGGTGCGCTAGCTTCCGCGCTCTATCACTTAGCACAGTTGCCTACAAAACCCATGTATTTAGAATCGGCTATTCCCCCTTCTGTCATGTACGACTGAAGTGGAGTTGTATGATATCTGCTGTGGAAAATATTAACCCGTTTGGCGAATTTTAAAAAGGCCAGCAGAGAGCGCACCTTGTGATTCGCTACTATCACGTACGAATGTGTGGAAGGGCCTCCTTCATTCTATCAAAATTGTAAAAATATATGTATAAGTAACAGGTATGCATTATGTGAGCATGAATTTGTTCTTTTTCTTTTTTTTTTTTTTTTTTTTTTTGGTTCCGGGAAAATACGTAGATGCTGACTGATTAAAGAAGCAGCGCCAGCAAAAATTGACTCTGACTCTCCTATGCACTCACAGCATTTGGGGCACATTTGAGTAAATCATTAATTTGTAACAGAATCTGTGGTTTTTCGTCCGTTCGTTCCATCGTCCAGTTGTGCACTTTTTTTTTTTCTTTTGTTTTGTAAAGGCTGCGAAGTAATTTTTTTTCATTGGCTGCACGGCACAAGAACGTCAACGGGACTTACATTTAAAAAAAAAAAAGAAACAATGCAGGCCATATTCAGCACTAACAGTTTTAACTTTATATTTCTTGTACCACTGTTTTACTTCATTTTGTTTTTCCCTTTTTGACGGCGCTTGTTTCAATTCCACACCATGTCCCGTTAAGGGCCCTTCCTAAAACTTATTCCTTTTTTCCTGTATCCCCCTTTTTAATCTTCTTAACATTGCAGCCCAATTTCGGGTACTCCTTTTTTATTTGTTAACATTAAAAGGGATATCTTCCACCACCTGCTCCACCGTGCATCGCTTTATTCACTCAATGTTGCAGTTTGTTCATCCGGATGCTGGCCCACCCGGTTGTAACTCATTTTACAATTTGTTCCTACGACATGGAATAGTTCTTAGTTGATTGTATCATTGTGTTGTATCGTACTGTACTGTATTGTATTGTATTTTATGGTACTGTACTGTATTGTTTTTTTTTTTTGTCTTTTTTTTTTTTTTTTTTTTAACTTATCACGCCGGCCATAACTGAGTACTCACCTTTTTGTTTCTGTGGTCCGGTTGCGATTCCCATTCTGGGCTGGATACAGCTAGGGCAGGAGGGAGAGTGCCAGAATGGGCATCTTCTCAACCTTTTTTTATTTCGTCCTCCTTACCCACTCGCCATCATCACTGCCACCCCGCGGTGCCATTCCACATCCTTTGCGTAAGCGTCTCTATGAGCTTCACCAACGTATATACAATGAAAGATGAGGTAAGTCCAAACTGGATGAACGAGAACCCAAACCAGACGCACGAGTCGTCCCAATCTCCGCATTCTATGTTCGAAGTATGCCCCTTTGAAGATCAATGGGTTCGCTCGTGCAAATGAGTCTGGGGTAGTCCACGTACATTCCAACACCTGAGAAAGTTACTTCCGCGTCAGGAACATCGTGCACGAGAGTACCTAAGTGTGTAGTTCTTCACAATAAACGCGTTTTCCCCCTCTTCCACTCTCCATGCAGGCATCTCCCAATGAAAGATTCCGGAACTGTTGGGAAAATCTACTAAAGCTCGAGCAGAACAATATATGTAGTTTATTCGAGTCACTAGATACAGAAAAATTTCGCGAAGAGACATGGACCAAGAAGAACTCGAAGAAAAAAAAAATAGGCTCAGGAATAACAAGGATCCTTGAAAATGGACGAGTGTTTGAAAAATGTGCAGTGAACTACTCATGTGTATATGGAACCATTGATAGAGAGACTGCCAGGCAGATGTGCGTCAATCAGCACAATAAAGAATACATCAATAGCAAAGAAATTTGCTACTCTGACGATCTTAACCAAGTTATTTCACGCATCATAAATAATGGGGGGTTAAAGATAGTTCGAGAGAAATACAAGTACTATGCCTCTGGGTTGTCAATCATTGCGCATCCCGTGAACCCCAATGCGCCCTCCATCCACATGAACTTTCGCTTTTTCCAAGTATTCATCAAAACGGGGCGCAAAAAAAAAAAAAACACCCCAACTCCTAACAGCAGCAATATGCCATATAGGAACACCAGCATTGTGGGGGGCGTGAATGCCAACGCGTACGCCGCTACCAATAAAGGGGGCCCAAATGGACAGCTCACCAATGTGAATGCAGGTGTTAGCAGCACGAGTACTGCGAAGAGTAATATAGATAGCAACTACCGAAGTTTGAAACATTGGTTTGGGGGAGGATGCGACTTGAGTCCCAGTTATATTTTCCCCGAATTATTTATCCACTTTCATCACTCATTTAAGGTAGTCTGCGATAAGTATAATCACTTATTTTACAAGTATTTCAAAAAATGGTGCGACATGTATTTTCGAATTAGGCACAGAAATATAAGCAGGGGAATTGGAGGAATATTTTTCGACAATTTATTGGACAACACTATAAAGAACAAGATAAAAGCGAAACAGAAAAATGGAAAAGCGAGAGAATTGCAAAATATAAGTATCAACCTTAGCAACAGAAACGCGGGTAACTTGAACGCTAACTATAATAACAGCCATACGAATAAAAAACTTCCCTCCGATGAGAGGCCATGTAAATGTCATAGCTGCAACCCCATCATGGATAACAGCTACAGAATGATTTTTCTATTTGTCCAAGAGTGCATCATTAATTTTCGTAAAACATATCTCTACATTCTTGCGCAGACAATTCATTGTAAGTATGACGACAACATGGTCAAATGGCAACATGTCTGCCGGGGCAGATACGCAGAGTTCAATTTAATATATGACAGAGGTACTAAGTTTGGACTCGAATTGAATACTTACAAAATTTATAAGAGAAAAAAACAATCCGACAAAATTGATAATTATGCCTCTACCTTTCTGAAGGATGAAGTTTTTTCTGATCAAAATTCTGACTACTTCTCAGATGAACATGAAAAGATCGACAACGTTTTTTCCTCCCTTCCCCTCAAGTGTGAATTTTTTTACAAGTATAAAATTGTGAAGTTCTCTCGCGAGCATGAAACGCTCCAGGTGTTGAAGCATCCGAAGAGGTGGGTCGACTACTAGGTGGGGGAATTTCCACAAGGTGCCTTTTACAAGGGGAGTCCCTCTTCATATGCGGGAAGAAGCGGCCTGCCTGTTGCCTTTCAGCACGTCCCCTGGAAGGAGATCACCTTGTTCGGCTAACGTCTTACATTCGTAGAATAGCAGTGCTAGTAACCCACACTGATATACCATGTCGAAGAAGTAGCTGTCGCCACCTCAACTCTGCCTTTGCTTCTTACTTCCCCATTTTTTTTTTTTTCTTTTTTGGCTCATAAATTAGACTACTCCTTATAGGAGCCCCACACATGCACGCCACATCGCGGAGGTCCCTCCATGTGCACCGCGAGCCTTGTGGACGTTTTTTTAAATTTGTCTCATTCGTGATCTATCTCACCCAACTGATAAACACATTTGAATAATCATCGCATAAACAGATCGCGTTATCGATTCACCCATGTCGCTACGATTGGCAGCAGTAGTCGGCGTGGTGTAATACGAGTTGCTGTGGTCATGGGAGATGACGTGGTGCCATGCCTCTCTCCCGGGGGGCTCATTCTGCAACGCTCGGCCAAAAATGCCCGCAACGGGAAACTACGATTATGGGCATCCAATGGGTCGCAGTTGCACCAAAAAAAAAAAAAAAAAAAAAAAAAAAAAAAAAAAAAAAAAAAAAAA